CAAAAAATAAAAAAAAAAAAAAAAAAAAAAATTACACTGGTCATTCGAAATGGCTTTAGCTGTATAAATATTAAATCTCAATGAAGAAGCTTACACATAATAGATATATCTAGCTCAGTCTGTCCAAAATGGTAGTCCTGGGCACAGCAAACAAAACATAACAGCATGTCCCAAATATTGGACATTTTCCGATGTTAGCCTAACACGTGGTTATTTATTTTAAGAGAACGTTTAAAATTACTTTGCACGACTGTACATATAGTCCGATTTAAATAGATGGCGTTTCACGCAAAAATGTGCACATTGTTTTTCCCATCCTCTGCAGTGTGTTTGCAATAGAATGTTAAATAAGTTATTTCATTAATCTTGCATCAATCACGTACTATTTTCGATCTGAAACCAATTTGAACTTTCAGAATGGGCTGTACTCATCAAAAGCACCAACCCATGTATTGAAGTAGCTTGTGCTAACACCCACCCATGATGTGACATATTTTTTTGCTATCACTCACCCATGTTGTGACGTATCCTGTGCTACCACCCACCCATGTTGTGACATATCTTGTGCTACCACCCACCCATGACGTGACATATTTTTTGCTTTCACCCACCCATGTTGTGACGTATCCTGTGCTACTACCCACCCATGTTGTGACCTATCCTGTGCTACCACCCACCCATGTTGTGACATATCTTGTGCTACCACCCACCCATGATGTGACGTATGTTTTGCTACCACCCACCCATGTTGTGACGCATCCTGTGCTACCACCCACCCATGTTGTGACGTATCGTGTGCTACCACTTTTTTTGCTTTCACCCACCCATGTTGTGACGTATCCTGTGCTACTACCCACCCATGTTGTGACCTATCCTGTGCTACCACCCACCGATGTTGTGACATATCTTGTGCTACCACCCACCCATGATGTGACATATGTTTTGCTATCACCCACCCATGTTGTGACGCATCCTGTGCTACCACCCACCCATGTTGTGACGTATCGTGTGCTACCACCAACCCATGTTGTGACGTTTCTTGGGCTATCCTCCACCCATGTTGTGACGTATCTTGTGCTACCACCCACCATTGATTTGACGTTTTGTGTGCTACCACCCACACATGTTGTGACGTATCGTGTGCTACCACCATACCATGTTGTGACGTATCGGGTGCTACCACCAACCCATGTTGTGAAGTTCCTTGTGCTAACACCCACCCATTTTGTGACGTATCTTGTGCTACCACCCACCATTGTTTTGACGTATCTTGTGCTACCACCCACCATTGTTTTGACGTATCTTGTGCTACCACCCACCATTGTTTTGATGTATCTTATGCTACCACCCGCGTTGTTGTGACGTAACTTATGCTACACCACCCACCGTTGTTGTGACGTATCTTATGCTACCACCCGAAGTTGTTGTGACGTATCTTATGCTACACCACCCACCGTTGTTGTGACGTATCGTGTGCTACCACCCGCCGTTGTTGTCACGTATCTTATGCTACCACCCGCCGTTGTTGTCACGTATCTTCTGCTACACCACCCACTGTGATAGCATCACGCATGAATGCAATCACCCGCCGTTGTTGTGACGTATCTTATGCTACACCACCCACCGTTGTTGTGACGTATCTTATGCTACCACCCGCCGTTGTTGTGACGTATCTTATGCTACACCACCCACCGTTGTTGTGAAGTATCGAATGCTACCACCCACCGTTGTTGTCACGTGTCTTATGGTACACCACCCACAGTTGTTGTGACGTATCTTATGCTACCACCCACCGTTGTTGTGACGTATCTTGTGCTACCACACACCATTGTTGTGACGTATCTTATGCTACCACCCACCGTTGTTGTGACGTATCTTGTGCTACCACACACCATTGTTGTGACGAATCTTATGCTACCACCCACTGTTGTTGTGACGTATCTTATGCTACCACCCACCGTTGTTGTGACGTATCTTATGCTACACCACCCACCGTTGTTGTGAAGTATCGAATGCTACCACCCACCGTTGTTGTCACGTGTCTTATGCTACACCACCCACAGTTGTTGTGACGTATCTTATGCTACCACCCACCGTTGTTGTCACGTATCTTATGCTACCACCCACCGTTGTTGTGACGTATCTTGTGCTACCACACACCATTGTTAAGACGTATCTTATGCTACCACCCACCGTTGTTGTGACGTATCTTGTGCTACCACACACCATTGTTGTGACGTATCTTATGCTACCACCCACTGTTGTTGTGACGTATCTTATGCTACCACCCACTGTTATTGTGACGTATCTTATGCTACCACCCACCGTTGTTGTGACGTATCTT